GGCTGATTTCTCACGCACATATTAGTAATTTATTTGTTTTGACCATTTCTAAGGCTCTAAGAAAGGAGGATCGACATTTATCAAAATATTCCTCTCTCCACCTCTTTTTTTTCACAGGAGAATTGATGTTTCTCCCAGTGCTTTTAAGAGGCACTCTCTTCTGTTTGATGAGATGAAAAGCTCCAAGGAAAACAGCTTCAAGGTGACCGAACATTTTGAAATATGACGTATTTTGGAAAAGAATGCTGCTCGAGTGATCCAGCCAGAGCATTCTTAGGCTTCCTTCTCACTCTAAACTCTGTTTCTGATGAGAGATGCATAAAAGTCCAAATGTGAGATGCAAAAAGAGGTGCATTCAGGTTGTTGTGTTGTAAATGCCCCCTCAACGTTTGATGGTAACCTTTTACTATGGGTACAAGCCTTCCTAAGAGGCAAGAAATCAGGGGTCAGAAATGGAAGTGACCAGTTGTTCCCATGTCAAATCCATTCAAAGGACTCTAAGCAAAAGTCATAGTAAGTATTCCTCTTCAAAGCCTGCAAAGAACAAGTGAGGTGTTTAGGCCAAGTAAAAACAACATACTTTCATGAGCACCAATGAAAGTATATCTGCTGTGGTCCTGTAATGTTGCCTCCTGTACTATTTTGTTTTGTTAAATGTCTTTTTTTTTATTTTGGTGAGCAAGTAAGAGGAAATCCAAGTGTTACCTTTGCGGCCTGTTGCCATTTCTGAGAAATACTGTTTAATTAGCCTGTTGAAAGACTGTGTGAAGCCAAAATGCCACTTAAAATGATATTAGAAAAGGTCTCTTCCTCTCATCCATTTGCATGGTTGTTTTAATTCAGCTGTTGCCATGTTTTTCTTTTTGGTCCCGCCCCATGCAATGCTACATGAAGCTGGAACGCTGCTAGCCCTCATCTGGCCAAAATATCTCTTTCTCCTCACCACAGGTCGATGGTAAAAAATCTAAAGGTGATTCAGTGGACCTTCGGCTGGATATTGAGCGCAAGAAGAAATACTTGAGTGGGGAGAGAGAGCACAGAGAGGAAGAGTATGGAGGAAGAGTATCGAGGGAATCTCCAGGTTCAAGCAAGGAAATATCCACTGAGAAAAACTCAAAGAACCACAAAAAACCGAAGTAAGCTGCTGTATAGGCATGTGAGAGTGAGAAATAAAGAGGTTCTGCTATGAGTTGTTCAGTTATGGAAAACAGAATTAAGAGAGACTTAAACGGTTGAAGCTGCTGCCATTTTGGTGACAAAAATAATAAGCTGACAGTTGTATTTTTGTTTGGGTTTGTTGTGACCTCTCAAGTGAAAAAAATCCTGCCTTGGTGATAATGACTTCTCTAAATGTAGTATTTTGATCAACCAATAAACAATTAGCAATTTCAGATCAAATTTTACTTGCCTCAACATTAAAAGAATGGTTGAGTCAAGTAAAGATTAAGCAAGATGAAACCGTCAAGAAGTCCATCTTGAGCCTCTCAAGAGGCCTTAAAAACATTTATAAAAAGGCCTGAAGATGCGTTCACACTCACAGCAGTCTGCAGCGACAAGAAATGAGAGTTGGTGATGTGAGGCAACATAAATGACAGAAATTGTTGGCAGTGCGAATGTTGAGCAGAGTTGAATTTTATGCAAATGAGCTGCAATACGATGCAGCGACTTCCAATGGGAGTGGAGCTTACGTGATTTTAACCTCCTGATACCGTCAAGTTTGAATGCCTGCTTGTGCCCAATAGGACAGCCACTTGGTCACCTTCAGCTATTAAATCACTGTCAGTGTGAATGCACCTTTTTGCCTTTCTGGTCAGCTGTATATATGGAATATGTTGGATAAAGGCTGTCAAGTGTTTAAAAAATGTCCTGATTTCCTTCTGGTAAAGATTAATTTATAGTTGGTGGAGAAGCAAATGACCTGATAAAGTCATCTTGCGCATGTTGAAGAACAATAAAAGTTGTTACCTTCGATCCAGTTGATTTTTTAATTTTTAAGACCTGTTAACATTCATGAACAATGTCTGAATCTAATGTTATTTAATTCCTAAGGAAAAACAAGAAGAAACGTGAGCATTCTGAGTCATCTTCCTCATCTTCCTCATCTTCCTTTGTTTACCACGAAGAAGACGCTGAGATCAAGGCAGAAGGTTTCTCCAAAATACAACAGGGGCTTAGAGAGTATGGAGAGCCTGCAGAAAGAGGACGGGCACGAGGAGGCTTTGTAAGTTTTGAGTGTATGGAATAACTAAGATGTTTGTTTATTGCTGTGGTACTTAAGGTTGCCATTTGCTGTTTCTCAGCAGCTTAGAATGCGCGGCAGAAGTTGGAACCGAGGACATTTCCATGGAAGCAGTAATGGTGATTCACAGATGAACATGTCAGCAAAGAATGACGACTGGGATCAAGAATACACTCCCAAGAACAAGAAATACTTCCTAGTATGTTGTGATCTTTGTAACACCCATTCTGCTTTCCCTTTCTATTGGAGTTTCTAATGGAGAAAATAGTCCCACCTACAACTATATGTTATATAATTGCATCAAGAAGATTCTCGGCAAGTCTGTATTTTTTGTCTTTGCAGCACAGTGAAAGAGATGGTGAAGCTGAGAAGAAGATGATGGACACACGAGGACGTGGTCGCGGTAATGCTCTTCGCGCAAAGGGACGTTTCATCCTCCGGAGGGCCACAAATACCAACACCATCAATAATACAAGCCCTAAATGGGCCCATGATAAATTCCAGACCACTGATGATGATGAGGGCGAACAGCAAGGAGAAGATGTAGAACAGGACCAGTGAGAACAGAGCAGTAACGATGTTAAGATCCCTCATCATGCTTTAAACCCTGGGATAAGACTTGTCAGCCTTCACACTTTCAAGAATGGATATAATATTCACATCCATATGCATCTAAAACTTTTTCATAGGGAAGAGGCTTTTTTATTGTATTGCTTTGATTTCCTATTTTCGTGAGGATGCTTTTTGTCAGCTTGGTCGTGTTTTGTGCTTTCTGTGTATCTTTTTTTTTTTTTTGTACATGCAAACTCTCAAAGGTTCATAGAAAAATACATATGGAGTTTAAGCAAAGTTATTTAGAGGAGCACATTCATCTAATCATGGCAGACACTGTTAAAGGCAACTTCAAATTTATTTTCTATCCTTAAATCTCTGGAAGAATTAGCACTCCATCTCGAAATCGAGTGCCTCCATTGTGAATCCGGTCTCGTTTTTTGCACAAGACTATTAAAACATGCAAACGAAACAAACGCAGAACAAAAAGTTAATATCTAAGTAGTGAAAGACTGATTGGATAAGGCAGGCCAATTGATCAGCTGATATTTGTCCAGTCATTAACTGATTAAAGGAAGTGTTTATCTCCCCACTTTTTTAGTTTACAATTTTACTGATAGCTTTGTCTATGGATAGTAAGACATTTTATTTTTTTATTTGTGTGTGAATTTTGATTGTTGTGTAATATACAGTACAATTCAACATAATACGACACATATGTAGCTTATTGGCCACCCTGCTTTATAGATGTTGATATCAGGCATCAAAAAGCCCATTTTATTTGACCACTAGTTCAATGGTTAGGTGCCGTTGATACACCATAGTGCCTGAAGTGTAGAATACCAGTATAGAACTATGGCTGGTTATGTACTCATTATTGCTGTTGAAAAAAAAATAGATGTACATATTAATGTTTTGTGGACTTAATTGAAACTCTTTGAGACCCTTGTGTGTCTACCTATAGAAAGGAAGATCATGACTTAATAACTTGTATGAATGACCCAGTCTCGCTATGGGACCAAACTACAGCAGGTAGACATTCATGTCCCAGTCACTGACATGTGGGGGAAAAAGATTTACATTCATCCAACTGCTAGTCAAAGATGTCAACTTTGAAACTGGACAAACAGCTTATAGAGAAAGTTCAAAATACATGCACTTACAAATGTTTTGAAGACTGCTAGCAAATTTTTTATTTACTGAGGTGCAAGTTTTTGACAATAAATGTGTGCAATGTGCATACTGTTTTATTATGGTTTTTCTAATGTGTGTCTTGTGTCTTCAAATTGTATGCCTTTTTCTATTGGCTAAGCACCTTTATTTTTGTTTTTGAAGAGTTAAAGTATAAAGAATATGCTGGGGGGAAAGTGAACAATTTTCATTCATACTCAAAATTGGATTTTAGCTGTCTGGGTTCTGATTTGCACTGTCTGATACATTTGGACTTTTTGACATTTTTGACTTGCATTTATATACTCACAATCAGAAAGAAATAAAAATGCAGCAATTTTACATCTGACTGAAGTAGGTTTTTTTTTTGGTAAATTATCATATTGTGAATTAAGCCTATTTTAATGGTCTCTTAACAATGCTTTATTATTTCTGTGTAAATTGACCCGACATGCTCTAAATAAAAGCATTACAGTCTCAGTACAATCATATCTCTGCTATCTGTTCAATAAAAGTTAAGCTGGCATAGACTGAAAGAACTAATATCAACACACTCATATTTAACAATCAGCTCCCTTGTTCAGCAGTAAGGGCACTGATCAGGGAGTCGGCCATTTTAAGGGCTGTCTCAATCGCGAAATCCTTCCAGTGCACTGGAACGTTCGCTCCCTGAAAAATCCCACAATGCACTGCAAAAACTAGGGCAATAACGTCACATTTCTGAAGCGCGAAACATAAACCAGACGAGCCAACTCGATAAATATAATGACTCGATAGAAGATTTGAAAAGACAAACCGTTTTTTAGTATATTTCAACATAAACACACATCGCTAGACAGGAATTGAACACATCTAATTAACATTTATAATTATTATTCGGCTGAATGTTGTAAGAACTTGAACCAGAACGATGTGTTTAAAGAGACTAAAAAATAAATATCAAAAAGAGATCGGTCCTGTCTGTTGTTTATTAATTCCAGTGATGACGTTCTACTATGTTGTCCGTTGACGTTGTACGTAATCATGTCACTGGAATTCGAGTGATCACTGTCCCAACGTGCAGTGAGTCAGGGAACTTACCAGTGCCCGAATTCGTGTACACGATCTACTGATTCACGAGCTAGGGAGCTGATTGAGACGCACCCTAAGATTACGCTCCTATTAAATCAAGGTTATTTAAACATCAGGGTTTTCCTTGAATTCCTTTCAAGTGAGTACACATGCAGTATTGTCAGTCATTTTTGCTGTGGCGCGTGACACCAGAAGGCTCATACCAACACAAACCTGTCTCACCTGTTACACACTTATCTCTCCTTCTCAGGGTATAACGTGTCTTGACTAGCTGAGAATTTTTTTTTTACCAACAATGCTAATGTTTGACTAGAAAGAAGGAGGTCCAACAAAGCTTTTGCTGTCTCTGGATTGTGTAATGCCACTAAATCAAGCAGGGATTCCATGACACTTTGAGAACTGAACAGAATCTTCATTGTCAGACTTGGTGCTCTAAACACAGCTTTCAAGGGGCCATGGGTGAGTTTTTAAACTTTGTTTCAAAAAGGTTGTTATGATTTGGCAAGCTGTGGTATTTGTGGTACTTGGGTTATGTATAGATATATTTATTTATTTTTATTGCCATTCCAACACCTATGGCTTTTTAATGGAAAGATCAATGTATTTTAGAAGAAGCATATATAGTGATTATGTATATATATGGTAGCCAGTGTTCATGTGAATTGTAGTATAATGAGTGTAACATAATTTTGATTAGTAAGCAATAAACGACAAGTGACAGGTTACACCTGTATCATATTTTTGATTTAATATTATTACTAACAATTATCCATAACTGAATGTATTTATTTATTTACTGATTTACTCAGTGTGACGTATTTGGTCAAGAAACTTGAGCTGACAGTTTATGACACCAACATCATTATAATGCTGCTTTCTTTTTAGCTCACCTGATCATAAACTACCTGTAATTAAGGCTTAACATTTAGACTGATAAAACACAAGAGTTTCTTGCCGGAAATCAGATAAAATGCCACTGTGAATCATGCAAACTGATCTTTGTACTGCTATGCGTTCTTGAGTTCAAATCACTCAGGTTCAACTCGCATACCTGTAAGCCTGTTGAAACGCATTGCTCATGGCTATCCAGCTCCAGGATTGCACTTTAGAGTCACATAAATCCTATCACTTCAATCTCTTTGGCATGTTTTTTCATGTCTTTCACATAATTAGATGCATTTGTCTGTAGGGTAAGTATTTCATAAAAGATAAGGCTGATTGAGAAAGTGCAACTGACTCACACCATGTCTACACCGGACGCGACAGTTGTCGTGTCGCGCCGCAACTGCTAAAGTCTGTCTACACTGGACGCGACAAACATCATAGCTGGCCCAAATGAAATCTGCATTTATTTGAGTGAAAAATCTGTAGAATGGCTATGTTAAAATTTATTTTAGATACTTATAAGTAGCTGAAAACATAATTTACAAGCCAAAATATTACATATTTCATAAAACACTCCAGTTTACTAACCACCAATGGCTTCACCTCTCTTCTGTCCCTTTTAGAGGTGCTTGTGCTTCTGGACTTTGAGGCGACAATGTCAGATGAGTTGACGGTGCATGTGGGAGATGTGGTGAAGAACGTCTCAAAGGGTAAAGAGGAAGGGTGGCTGGAAGGAGAGCTGAGAGGAAAGAGAGGCATGTTTCCTAGCAACTTTGCCAAGGTCTGCACCTGTTAGAGCACTCTTTCCATAGCTTTCCTAGTAGCCATAATGGTCATTTTCAAAATGGCTATTCTCTCCTTACAGGAAGTGCCTGTTTACTTAATAGGGGACAGCAACAGAGAGCCAAGAAGCATGAGGAAATGTAAGTTTCCATTATAAGTTAAAAAACAAACATGATAAACATCAAATCGTAAATGAATCTTTTAGGTGAACAAATCACTCTTGTTCTCTTCAATTCACTGAATTATTTTCTGAAGTCCCATTTTAATTGTGTGACTATTTCCTGCAGAAAAGGTCGGTGAGCGCATCTGAATGAATCTTATTAATGAATCGGTTTACTTGGATGAATCAAAGACCCCAAAAATAACAAACATGTTCCCTTTCAAATATTCAGATTTTGTTATAGATAAATAACAGTTTTCTTTTTTTCAAAGACAGATTCTTAAACTACATTCGAATCTTGGTCCACAGGCGTTAGCATTTGAAGCTGTCCAAAGCATCCGACTTGGTATACTAAAATAAGTAGGAGAAGTCTCACCAAGGCTACATTTATTTGATCAAAAATACATTAAAACAGCAATATTATGAAATATTATTACAATTTAATATAACTGTTTTCTATTTTATTATATTTCAAAATGTATTTTATTCATGTGATGGCAGTTACATTTTCAGCAGCCTATCCCAGTCTTCAGTGTCACATGACCTTCAGAAATCATTCTAATACACTGATTTGGTGCTCAGGAAACATTTCTTATTATTGACACACAAATTGATCAAAAGTGACAATAAAGACATAATGTTACAAAAGATTTCTATATCAAATACATGCTGTTCTTTTGAACTTTCTATTCATCAAATAATCCAGAAAAAAGTAAATAAAATTAGATAAAAAAAAAAACTAAAAAAATTAGCACCAAATCAGAATATTAGAATGATTTCTAAAGGATCATGTGACACTGAAGACTGGAGTAGTGGCTGCCAAAAATTCAGCTTTCCCATCACGGGCATACATTATATTTTAAAATAGATTAAAATACAATGTAGTTCTTTTAAATTGTAATGATATTTCAAAATATTATTGATTTTACTATATTTTTGATCAAATAAATGCAGCCTTGGTGAGTGACGTATTTTAAAAACTTTTAAAAAATCATAATTATCCCAAACTTTTTACCAATAATGTATATTATTTAACTTGTTTATCCTAGGGCTGGGTATTGTTACAGGCTTCCTGGTTCGATTCCATTGACTGTCTCTCTGCTAATGCTGTATATTATACAGGGCAGTGTTTCAGACTGATACAAATCAGTAACTCATCTTTTTGAACCATTCATAAAATGAAGCATCCCATGAGTCATTAATTGCTGGAATCAGGGCTATCACTAGACACGTTGTATATTTTTGATTCAGTAAATAGGACTGATTCATAAGAGTCAGTTGTTTGTGAAGAGTAAATTGTTCAAATGAAGATCATCATTTCTACCCAGCCCTAGATTAGTTTGTCCTGTACATACTGTGTTTTAGGCCTTTCAAGCTAAATAAATGACAGACATTCATCATTTTGATGGATTATATGCATTTGAAATTGGCTTTCTATTTTCTTTTTCTTTTTTACCTTCATTTTAGTCAGTGTAAGAGTGGAAATAACACAATAAATCCTGTGTGTGTGCCAGGCAAAAAGTAAGATTGCACAGTTGGGTTTGCGATCTGTCCTTCAAATGCATCAACAGAGCTGTTGGAAAAAAAGAACCAACACACATGAAGAGCTAGATATGCCTTGTTTACAAATGTCAGCTCACAGTCTGTAATTTAGATGTTCTAAAAAGGTCTAAAAGGTTTATATTTGCACTTTGCAAATGGATGAAGTGAAATTTTCCCAGCTGCACACACTTGTTTACCTGTTTCGGAGTGGAAGGCATTCATTTGTGCATGGTAAAATGAACAAAACCCATTACAGTTTATGCATAGTTCTGTCAATCTGACATGCTGCAGAAGTCCTTGGTCACGTTAAAATGACAACAGATGTATCTGAGCACATTATTGTAAATAATAGTAAACTGAAAATCTCTTCCTCTCATTGACCAGATTCCTGGAAGAGCAAAAGCTTAAAAAACAGGCTTCTGCATGGGACGACACCACACATAAAGTGAAAAGTAATGGAGATATAGTATGTGATAAAGAAAATGGAGAAATGTTTGAAAAGGGCATTGAGTTGTCTCGCACTGTAGATCACGACAACGCAGGAGAGGAGAAATCCAAATCTGCCAAGAGTGGTGATGGTAACAAGTTATCCATAAGCTCCACTAAAAGGGGTTCACGAAACAGACATTTGACATTTCAGTGCGAGGATGAAGAAATGGAGATCTCTAATAGGGTGAGGGATATGGAAAATGATCGCTGCAAAAGCAAAAGCAAAGTCACGCTGTCTGCTCGTGAAATGTTTGAGAAGCGTATCAGGAGAATGCAGGACATGGCATGGGATGATGAGCTGGAAGCTCTCCTGCTTTGCCATAAACAGGAAAGAGCAGCGAATATTCTAGCTGCTCTCTCTAAGAGAGACCAGTTCAGTGGCATGTTTAAGGATCCCTCACCTGAAAAGCTCTCTAATGTTAACCGAAAGGAGAAAACCACGCTAAGTTCCTCTTCTAAACCCACACTGCTGCCCAGGAGGAGCTCTGAGAACCGTGAGCAAGATATGTTTGTGGTTATGAACGAGGAATCCCCACCAACAGCTTCAATGAAAAGAAGTGAATTCAGTGTGAGGATGGATTCTCTAAGTGATGATCTTGCAAGGTGATCTTTGTTTCCCTCCAAGATCTCAGAAATGACCTTTTGCTTCTGCTTCCATCTTCACAAAACATTGCATTGTTGTGTGTATGACTGCGTCTGACTATCAGATTTGAATTATATTTCATTTTGTCTTTCCTAACCATTGTTGTATTTGACAGGACACCTGTTTTGACCAATGAAAGAAGGAATCTTCTGGATTTTCTGCATCTTGATAAGAAGGATTGGGAGTTTCAATCTGTCCTTCAGCATCTTCAGGCTCAGCAGTCACCCAAAAGTCCATCTGAGCTGTTTGCCCAACACATAGTTTCAATTGTCCATCACATTAAAGGTGACTGAAACTGATGACTGATGTCTTTTGCAGTCAAGGTTCTGAGGGGGTACACTGGCCTTAGTATTTGTATTGTTCCATTTTTTTTCTAAAAATGTAATTTATTCATTTATTAAATATTTTTTAGTTTTTTGTTTTATATTTGTGTTGTATACTATCCAGGTTTTATTACTTTTTTCCCACTTGATGAAATACTTAATGTATTATATTATATTAAAAGGTATAAATATTAATTCATAATTTAATAAAAAAAATACAAATTATTTTTTGTCCACCCCACAGCTCAATATTTTCCTTCCTCTGGATTGACCCTAAATGACCGATTTGCCATGTACCAGAGAAGAGCTGCTGAGAAAGAAGTCATGAAGCAGAGAAAGAGTCCAGAGATACACAGGTACAAAAATTCAGGGACAACTTCCCAGGCTGGTTTCTCACGCACGTATTAGTAATTTATACTAAAACGTTTTTTACAAAATACGTTTTGACAATTTAGAAGGCTCTAAAAAAAGGAGGATCGACATTTATCAAAATATTCCTCTCCCCACCTCTTTTTCACAGGAGAATTGATGTTTCTCCCAGTGCTTTTAAGAGGCACTCTCTTCTGTTTGATGAGATGAAAAGCTCCATGGAAAACAGCTTCAAGGTGACCGAACATTTTGAAATATGACGTATTTTGGAAAAGAATGCTACGCGAGTGATCCGGCCAGAGCATTCTTAGGCTTCCTTCTCTCGCTAAACTCTTGTTTCTGATGAGAGAGGCATAAAAGTCCAAATGTGAGATGCAAAAAGAGGTGCATTCAGGTTGTTGTGTTGTAAATGCCCCCTCAACCTTTTACTATGGGTACAAGCCTTCCTAAGAGGCGAGAAATCAGAGGTCAGAAATGGAAGTGACCAGTTGTTCCCATGTCATATCCATTCAAAGGACTCTAAACAAAAGTCATAGTAAGTATTCCTCTTCAAAGCCTGCAAAGAACAAGTGAGGTGTTTAGGCCAAGTAAAAACAACAAACTTTCATGAGCACCAATGAAAGTATTTCTGCTGTGGTCCTATAATGTTGCCTTTTGTACTATTTTGTTTTGTTTATTATCTTTTTTTATTTTGGTGAACAAGTAAGAGGAAATCAAAATGTTACCTTTGCGGCCTGTTGCCATTTCTGTGAAATACTGCTTAATTAGCCTGTTGAAAGACTGTAAGAAGCCAAAATGCCACTTAAAATGATATTAGAAAAGGTCTCTTCCTCTCATTCATTTGCATGTTTGTTTTAATTCAGCTGTTGCCATGTTTTTCATTTTGGACCCGTCCCATGCAATGCTACACAAAGCTACTAGATCGCCGCTAACCCTCATCTGGCCAAAATATCTTTCTCCTCACCGCAGGTTGATGGTAAAAAATCTAAAGGTGATCCAATGGACCTTCGGCTGGATATCGCTACTAGATCGCCGCTAACCCTCATCTGGCCAAAATATCTCTTTCTCCTCACCGCAGGTTGATGGTAAAAAATCTAAAGGTGATCCAATGGACCTTCGGCTGGATATTGAGCGCAGAAAGAAATACTTGAGTGGAGAGAGAGAGCACAGAGATGAAGAGTACGGAGGAAGAGTATCGAGGAAATCTCCAGATTCAAGCAAGGAAATATCCACTGAGAAAATCTCAAAGAACCACAAAAAACCTAAGTAAGCTGCTGCATAGACATGTCAGAGTGATCTTCAATGCAGAGGTTCTGCTCTGAGTTGTTCAGTTGTAGAAAACAGAATTAAGAAAGACCTACACTGTTGGTGACTAAACTAATAAGCTGACAGTTGTATTTTTGTTTGGGTTTGTTGTGGCCTCTCAAGTTAAAAAATCCTGCCTTGGTGATAACTTCTCTAAATGTAGTTGAAACTGCAATTTTGATCAACCAATAAACAATCTGCAATTTCAAAGAATCTGGTTGAGGCAAGTAAAGATTAAACAAGATTAAACCATCAAGAAGTCCATCTTGAGCCTCTCAGGAGGCCTTAAAATTTTTTTACAAAAAAGGCCTAAAGCTGCATTCACACTCGCAGCAGTCTGCAAAAACAAGAAGTCAGACACTTTTAATGAGAGTTGGTGATGTGAAGCGTCATGAGTGACAGAAATAGTTGGCAGTGCGAATGTTGAGCAAAGTTGAACTTTATGCAACAGAGCTGCAATACAATGCAGCTACTTCCAATGGGAGTGGAGCTCACGTGATTTTAACCTCCTGATGCCATCAAGTATGAATGCCTGCTTGTGCCCAATAGGACAGCAACTTGGTCATCTTCAGCTATTAAATCGCTGTCAGTGTGAACGCACCTTTTTGTCTTTCTGGTCAGCTGGATATTTTGAATATGTTGGATAGAGGTTGTCAATGTTTGAAAATATCCTGATTTTCTTCAGATTCAGTTAAAGATTAATTTATAGTTGGTGGAGAAGCAAATGACGATGAAGTCATCTTGCACATGTTTAAAAAAACATGCTGAAGAACCTTTCATCCAGTCGATTTTTGATTTTTTTTAAGACTTGCTTACATTGATTAACAATGTCTGAATCAAATTATTTCATTCCTAAGGAAAAGCAAGAAGAAACGGGAGCAATCTGAGACATCTTCCTCATCTTCCTCGTTTTCCACTGTTTACCATGAAGAAGAGGCTGAGATCAAGGCAAAATCTGAATCAAATTATTTCATTCCTAAGGAAAAGCAAGAAGAAACGGGAGCAATCTGAGACATCTTCCTCATCTTCCTTGTTTTCCACTGTTTACCATGAAGAAGAGGCTGAGATCAAGGCAAAAGGCTTCTCCAAAGTCCAACAGGGGCTTAGAGAGTATGGAGAACCTGCAGAAAGAAGATGGGCACGAGGAGGCTTTGTAAGTTTTGGGTGATATTGAAGAACTAAGATGATTGTTTATTGCTGTGGTACTTATGGTGGTCATTTGCTGTTTCTCAGCAGCTTAGAATACGTGGTAGAAGCTGGAACCGAGGAAATTTCCATGGAAGCAGTAATGGTGATTCACAGATGAACATGCCAGCAAAGAATGATGACTGGGATCAAGAATACACTCCCAAGAGCAAGAAATGCTTCCTAGTATGTTGTGAACTTTGTAACACCCATTCTGCTTCACCTTTCTAGAGTTCCTGGAAAAAATCAGCAAGCTATCAACATGATAGTAAAATAACAATAATATATATATTTTTTTACACATAAATATACACATTTACAAATTAATATAATGTCCATATAAAGAACTTAGGTTATACCAAAGACTATAGATATACAAAGACGGTTCACTCCTATTACTTATGAATGGGAGAAACTGTAATGCACAATATGGTGGAATATGTCTCGCCTTTTAAATGAAAGGGCCAATCGCTGATTGGTAAAGTCATTGCGTCACTGCAGCTGCTGTTAGAAGCTCCGGTTTCCATATAAACCTGAGACTCATGCTTATAACTGGCTGATCTAGATTTTTTTAAATGGTATTTGAGCATAAGGAACAGCATTCATGGGGCAGTTCATTTCAAATTTTGTTGCTGATTTGAGATATGTAATTTAATTGTGAGTTCAGCAGGAAGTTTTTGAGATTTCAGGATTCCCCCATTCATTTAGATAGGACTTGGTCTTGGATGCCTAAAATAGCTGCCCAGAGGCGTTGCAATTATGGCTGCCGAGTGAACAGACTTTCTTTGAAAGGGACTTTGGTTATACTCCTTGTATCATAATCTCTTACATTCGGGGTCTGTATGTGTAATATTATGACAGTGTACAGTCAAATATAACACAGGTGATTATTCTTAAACTCACAAACCTTTTAATTATATTAATCAATTAGGTTAATATTTTCTGTATTTTGTTGTTGCAGCAGAGTGAAAGAGATGGTGAAGCTGAGAAGAAGATGATTGAAACACGAGGGCGTGGTCGCGGTAATGCTATTCGCCCAAAGGGACGTTTTATCCTCCGGAGGGCCACAAATACCAACACCACCAAAAATGCGAGCCCTAAATGGGCCCATGATAAATTCCAGGCCACTGATGATGATGAGGGCGAACAGCAAGGAGAAGATGTAGAACAGGACCAGTGAGAACGGAGCAGTAAAGATGTTCAAATCCCTTATCATACTTTAAACCCTGGGATAAGACTTGCTGGCCTTCACACTCTCAAGAATGGATATAATATCAGCATCCTTATGCATCTAAAACTTTTTGATAGGAAAGGGGCTTTTTTATTGTAGTTTTCATTTTCTATTTTCATGAGGATGCTTTTGTCAGCTTGGTGGTGAATTTTTTCGTTTTGTTTGTTTTTTGTACATGCAAATTCACACACTTTCATAGAAAAACACATTATGTAGTTTAAACAATTCTTTTAGGGGAGCACATTCATCTAATCATGACAAACACTGTTAAAGCCACCAGCCTAAACTTCACATTTATTTTCTATCTATAAATCTCTGGAGGAATCTGCACTCCATCTCAAAATGTTCTGCCATATATTTCATTTTCGACTACCTCCATTGCGAATCCTGTCTACTTTTTTTGCACAAGACTATTGAAACATACAAATTAAATATATGGCAGAAAATAAAGTTAATATCTAAGTTTTGTAGTGACGGACTGTTAAATAAAAGGCAGGCCAATTGATCAGCTGATATTTGACCATTTTTAGATTATTATTACAATGATTAATGGAAGTGTGTATCTCCCCACTTTTTCAGTTTCAAATTTTACTGATTACTGATTATTTGTGTGTGAATTTTGAATGTGTAAAATACAGTACAATCCAATATAATACGATACATATATCGCTTATTGGCCACTCTGCTTTCTAGATGTTGATATCAAGCATAAAAAATCAATTTCAGTCGACCACTAGTTCAAAGGTTAGGTGTTTTCGATGTACCATAGTGCCTGAAGTGTAGAATACCAGTATAGAACTATATCTGGTTATGTACTCATTGTTGCTGTTGAAAAAGATAAAAAAAATTAAAAAATAGATGTACATATTAATGTTTTGTGGATTTGATTGAAACTCTGTCTACCTATAGAAACAAAGATCATGACTTAATGACTTGTATGAATGATCCAGTCTCGATATGGGACCAAACTACAGCAGGTAGACATACATGTCCCAGTGAATGACATGTGGGGAAAAAGATTTACATTCATCCAACTGCTAGTCAAAGATGTCAACTTTGAAACTGGACAAACAGCTTATAGAGAAAGTTCAAAATACATGCACTTACAAATGTTTTGAAGACTGCTAGCAAATTTTTTATTTACTGAGGTGCAAGTTTTTGACAATAAATGTGTGCAATGTGCATACTGTTTTATTATGGTTTTTCTAATGTGTGCCTTGTCTTTAAATTGTATGCCTATTTATATTGGCTAAGCACATTCTTTAGATAAAGTAATCATTTTGTCACTTAGATACTAATAAAAAGGTTATTTTTAGTTTTGGGGAATTTGATTTTGAAGAGTTAAAGAAAAAAAAAACATGGGAAAAGTGAATAATTTACATTCATTCTCAAGATTGGATTTTAGCTGTCTGGGTTCTGATTTGCACTGTCTGATATATACATTTTGACTTGCATTTATATACTCACAATCAGAAAGAATAAAAAAAAAATGCAGCAATGTTACATCGGACTGATTTTTGTGTCAAGTAGAAACAGGAAGTAGTGTTTTTTTTTTTGAGACCAAGAACACTGACACCCTATTTATTTGTAAATGATCATATTGTGAACTAAGCCTATTTTAATGGTCTCTTAAAAATGCTTTATTATTTCTGTGTAAACTGACCCGACATGCTTTAAATAAAAGCATTAGTCTCAGAACAATCATATCTCTGCTATCTGTTCAATAAAAGTTAAGTGTGGCATTGACTGAAAGAACTAATGTCAACACACTCATGTTTAACAAAGATTACACTCCTGTAAAATCAAGGTTATATTTAAACATCAGGTTTTTCCTTGAATTCCTTTCAAGTGAGTACACATATTGTCAGTCATTTTTGGTGGGATACGTGACACCAGAAGGCTCATACCAACACAAACCTGTCTCACCTGTTACACACTCTATCTCTCATTCTCAGTGTATAACGTGTCTTGACTAGCTGAGAATTTCTTTTCCCCAACAATGCTAATGTTTGACTAGAAAGAAGGAGGTCCGAGAAAGCTTTCACTGTCTCTGGATTGTGTAATACCACCAAATCAAGCAGTGTAATTCACAGGGATTCCATGACACTTTGAGAACTGAACAGAATCTTCATTGTCTGACTTGGTGCTCCAAACACGGCTTTCAAGGGGTCATGGGTGAGTTTTTAAACTTTGTTTCAAAAGGTTCTTATGATTTGGCAAGCTGTGGTGTTTGTGGTACTTAGGTTATATATATATATATATATATATATATATATACACACACACACACACATTTATTGATTTTTATTGACATCTATGACTATTTTCATGGCAAGCTCAATGTATTTTAAAGAAACAAATAGTGGTTATGTATATATATATATATATATATATATACCGTATCTAGTATTGTAGTATACTAAGTGCAATATAATTTGATAAGTAAGCAATAAATGACAAATAAGTGACAGATGGGTTAGACTGAGCTGCATTCGTATCATATTTTTTGATATTTTTGATTATTACTAACATTTATGTATTTATTTATTCACTGATTTACTTAGTGTGACACATTTGGTAAAGAAACTTGAGATGACAGTTTATGACACCAACATCATTATGACGCTGCTGTTTGAGCTTACCTGATCACAAACTACGCTTGGCATTCAGACTGATAAAACACATAAGGGTTTCTTACTGGAAATCAGATGAAATGCCACTGAATCATGCAAAGTGCTCTTTGTACTGCTATGCAGTCTTGAGTTCAAGTCCCTCAGGTTCAACTCACATACCTGTAAGCCTGTTGAAACACATTGCTCATGGCTGTCCAGCGCCAGTAGGCTACTGCACTTTGAGAGTCACATAAATCCTACCGCCTATCTCTTTGGCATGTTTTTTCATGCCTTTCACATTATTAGACTTATTTGTCTGTAGGGTAAGTATTTCATAAAAGATAAGGCTTTCTGATGATTGAGAAAGTACCACAGAGTAACCCACATGAAATCTGCAGGCTTTTTTGCATTGATTTTAGGGAGATATCTGTGGAATGGATGTAAATATGTTAAAATCTCTTTTAGATACTTATCAGTAGCTGAAAACATAATTTACAGGCCAAAATATTACATATTTCATAAAACACTCCAGTTTACTAACCACCAGTGGCTTCACCCCTTACTTCTGTCCTTTTTAGAGGTGCTTGTGCTTCTGGACTTTGAGGCCACCATGCCAGATGAGTTGACGATATGTGCAGGGGATGTTGTGAAGAACGTCTCAAAGGGCAAAGAGGAAGGGTGGCTGGAGGGAGAGCTGAGAGGAAAGAGAGGCATGTTCCCTTGCAACTTCGTCAAGGTCTGGACCTGTAGAGCATTCTTTCCATAGCTTTCCTAGTTGCCATAATGGTCATTTTCAAAATGGCTATTTTCTCCTCACAGGAAGTGCCTGTTTACTTAATAGGGGAAAGCAACAGAGAGCCAAGAAGCATGAGGAAATGTAAGTTTCCATTATAAGTTAAAAAACAAACATGATAAACATCAAATCGTAAATGAATCTTTTAGGTGAACAAATCACTCTTGTTCTCTTCAATTCACTGAATTATTTCCTGAAGTCCCATTTGAATTGTGTGACTATTTCCTGCAGAAAAGGTCGGTGAGCGAATCTGAATGAATCTTATTAATGAATCGGTTTACTTGGATGAATCAAAGACCCCAAAAATAACAAACATGTTCCCTTTCAAATATTCAGATTTTGTTATAGATAAATAACAGTTTTCTTTTTTTCAAAGACAGATTCTTAAACTACATTCGAATCTTGGTCCACAGGCGTTAGCATTTGAAGCTGTCCAAAGCATCCGACTTGGTAGACTAAAATAAGTAGGCTAATGAAAGGTTTGTGCGTCCACATCCGGTCTCAAATTATACCCACCAAAATCCATAGGCTGTTACTATATCCACCATAAAATAGTGTTTGTCATAAAAGTGAAGTACTTGTAAAAGTGAAAGCTGGAAGTGCTTTTGCAGTCTAGTTCAGTTCAGTTTGTCCTCACACATTAACGTGTTGACATGTTACATATGTTTTCCACTTACTTCATCGCTCCAGCGAAGAAAACAAAGGTAACGTTACAGGCGAGGAAATGTGAGGTGGCTTTTCCCTACACCCCCGCGAACGAGGACGAGCTGGATCTGGTTGTCGGGGAGACCATCGAGATTCTCAGAGAGGTAATAAGTTCCGCATTTCTATAAACTTCATTGATGGAGTCTTATGTGAATTGTTTCATGTCTAACTAGTAACTTTTGCTTTTGCTGTGAGCAAAAGTGATTGTCTTTCATAATCTCATCGTCCTTGTGAACGGAAAAAAACACCCTCACGTATTTTCAAATCTATATTTTTCTTTCAACAGATATACAA